AAGAACATATAGCACGAAAGTCTCTGATGAACTTTATTGACCATGTTGAAGAGTTTCAGTCTGTGTGAATAATGTTCTCATTAATTTATAGGCAGGAAGATGGATCAGATCATTACACATGCAAAGTAAAACAACACAGATGCTCTATGGCATCTGCTTCCCGCTTGATAACTGATTCTGAGAAAAAAATTTCACAAAAGTTAAATTCTGTTTGAAGATTTTTTGTGAGTTATAAGTTACAGATATTGCGACGTCACGAAACTCTGAGGTTATTCTGAAAAATATCGAATAATTTAGAGCTACTATGTATAGCGGTTAGAACGCTGGCCTTGTAATCCTGGGGTCTCAGGTTCGATTCCCGGCGGTGCCCGAATTTATAACTTGTGTTGGGCAAGGCCGTGGTCTAGGCAACACGGAGTTTTCCTCCGGGGGATCCCAACAATTACTCCATTCACACACAGAAGAAGGCAATGGCAAACCACTTCTGGATCATCTGCCAAGAACGTATATGAACAGGTCCCAGTCCGAGAAAAGGATGGAAGGATCCTGTTCATATAGATAATTTGAATAATTAATTTATAACTAATATTTGACGTTAGACAGAGAAATACGTTTATGAGAGAGAAGATGGCAAAGTTCTAATAAATTTATTTTTCTACGAACAGAAAATAAGTATATGAAATAAATTCACTTCTAAATCAAGGGTCTTCAAATTATGTGAAGACCGTAAAGCTTTAAACGTTTATACTAAGCATCCATTAAGAGCAAATCTGTCTCAAGAAAACGAAGGCTAGAGGGTTCTTATGTGAATGGATACAAAGAATGATTATCCTTAAATTTCGTTCCCATGCTGGTCAATCAGTCATGCGCAATTGAATCCATACTGGCACGATCAACAACCTTATGACGCAAAAAGAAAACATGTCATGCTCTCTCAAACATGGGAAATACGGTTTTAACGTCATGATGATTTTGTTGACATTGTGAATCATACTATTGTCCTCCATAAGTAATTATTTTTTTTATCATGACCTTTGCAAAAATTGTTTTAGAGTTCATTAACCAGTTATATTAAAACAGAAACAGAAATTATTGTTAGACACCGAATACATAAGGACCTTATATATATGAATACTGCTTCTCACATCGCAAACCTGCCTACAATAAAGCCTGAGTTTCGTAAATCTGCAATATTAAAATGGATCTTAAAGGGACGGGGTACGAGGATGTGGATTGGATTTAGTTGGTCCAGAATAAGAACTAGTGGCGGTTTATAGCAAACAAATCTTGGGTTTCCATAAAACATGGGGGATTTCCAGGTTAAATTGATGCCTGTCAGTTTCGCTAGTAAAACAATGCACCATGAGTTGGTTCGTTGGGTATGTTAGGATAACTCGAAGCTCTATACAATGACATAAAAAAGAGAGCTCACAGAAATCAAAACAGTCCAATAAAAAATATCACTTCAATTTCCATTTATCTGTTACTTATCACTGTGTTTTTACGTAGAATGAAACCTCATCACCAAATTATAATAAACACATTTGAAACGGCACTCGTCGTTGGTATAAGGCGTTCAATGCTGATGAGTCTAGTTATATTTCCTATTTGGTATTATACAGGTCTACGGTTCCATTCACAAACCGAGCTGGTGAAACTTACTTGTGATATTTATGGCTTTTCTCAGCCCCCGGGAAAATTCTGGGATTGCTCATTAAAACAGGCCACAATCATTTCGTTCCATATCCCAATTTATCACTCGTAATCATTTTTAAGTCAAATAAAACTGAATTACAACAAATCACTGGTATAATATTACTTATTAACTGTGCGCATCTAAGACGCTGTCAAAACTCTTGTGATTGCAATGCCATCAAACTGACATAAGTTAATTAATTTACAATGTATAAAGAACAAAAACACCAGGGGCCATAAAAGTTATGGGCTTTTATAGAACACGAAAGTTTATTACTGTGTTAACAACACCCTACCACCGGTACCTATTGTGAGCCAGATGAGTCCGATTTACAATCCCAAACCTGATTTCACTAAGACCTGTTAAAATAGTACTCTCTTATCTACGCCTTGGTCTTCCGAGTGGTGTTTCGCACAACGCTAAGGCGGGTGTTCGAACCACATGCTGTGTGTGTTCATAATCATTACAAAGGAAAAAACTGTAAAAGTCAAAAAATTTCAATATGCATAATATCGCATATATTTTCAATTCTCTGAATGAAGCGCTACGAAAATCTACAATAAATCTGACACCGAACCTATTCCTGAATTCGTAAGAGCGTCACATCAGTCCTACACTCCCTAGAAAATGTGTACTTATTCGAAGTTCTTATTATTTCTGTTTATTGGTCAATTAGTGAACTGAAGGCCATACCACTAGAGCTCGAAGGTCTGTTAACACAGTAAGCCTGCCACTGAACATTATCCTGAGCTAATTACGCCCGTCTCTCATCATTACAAATTTTCTTCCTAAGAACAAACTTTACTTTATCTTTGCATAGCCTTCCCAGAATTCGAAGTGTCCTTTCAAGAGGTTTTCACTCCAGTCAGAACTGTACGTGCATTCATTATCTACCAAATCCTAGCCACGTATCAACCCCATTGTAACTTCCGAACCTGGAATTCACTTTAGCAACAAGAGACCTATTAGGTGAACTGTGAATAACAAATATCCTTGTTATAAGCTATCTGAAATTACAATAATATCCTTGTTATAAAATATTTTAAATTATTCACTTATTTGATTGCTTCTTAGGTCCAAAAATTTTCAAATTTCTTTTGTTCTTAAACACTTGTACGTAACTTATGTACTTTCAAAGCGTGAGACCACTTTTTGCACTCATACAAAGCAGCTAAATAAACTTTTCTTCGAGACACTGTTGTTTCTAATTATTCGTGGTAAATATAGCCACTAATGTCACTGCAGAACATCCTAAGATTTGTAAATGCAAATTACTGAACAAAGATAACAGTCATATAACACAGGATAGTTTACGATTCTCTAAGTTTTGAGGCAATTCTAAATCCATTATACAGCGTAATCTATAATGAGGAAATTATTATTAGTAGTAGTAGTATTAGTATTATTAATACTACTACTACTACTGAAGCAAAATATGCTGCCACTTTCGTTCAAACGAATACAATATAAATCTCACATAGGAACATGACTGATACTGGTACAGCTGGGCAAGAGAAAATAGAAACTTATAGTCTGATATCCCATCAGCGGCGCCAAGTGCAAGTAAAATGTCTTCAAGGCCACGCAGACCTATACAACGCCATGCTATGAGTGTCACAGAAGAATGGATGGATGATGAGGGTTAAAGCATGAATTACGCACATTTACCACTGCACCGTGCTTTACAGAGTTAAGAAATGTTTGGCACATGAACAGAGCGAGGTCTTAGAGATGTAAACAATGGGCCTGCCCGCCCATGAAGAACGCGCTAATTAGGAAAGTAGCTCAAAAGTAAAAGTTGAAGATCACACAGGAAGTGTATGCAGCAATGAAAGCCTATGGGACACTACAATTTAATTTTCCTTGTCTTGAATGCAACGTAAAAGTAACCAGTAACACTTCTATGCAAATTCTACAACAATGGCAAGCAGAACAATGCTAAAAATAATAGTTTCTTATTTAATCAGGTACCAAAATATTCGTCCAGGGAACAAGAGCTTCTAGACGTTTGTTATTTGTTTCACAGAGATTATTTTAAACTACAGGGAACTACATTTGACAATGTAAAGCCAATTTATTCCAGCTTCAGCAATTGACCCTACTAGACATCCAGAGTAGAAAGGGGGCCGCAGAGAGTAGCTTGCGTACCCAGTTAGTGATGGCAGAGGGAATTAATATTTCCTCTTCAAGGGTATTTCCGGATTTGGGGAGGATATAGTCTACATACAATACGACTTGGTGTGGGAATCACTCCAGAAGTAATTCAGACATTACTTACGAATATTAAATCTGATTACGTCCCTGTTCGGGGTTAAGTTTCTCGTCTTTTTCATGGGAACACGAGAGAAAACAGCAATTAAGAATTTCCGATATAGCAGTCACAGTTTAAGTAGAGAGATATCATCGAAATGTTAATGGAAAACGAGAAAAGTCGAAGGAAATCATTAGACGTCTCAAGAACACGTACGGGACAACTCTGAATTGCCTGAGAAGGCATTGGCCTTAGCCTACTATAAGTTGGCCTATTACTCTCTCATATTCCCGGTGTGTTGGGTGCAACTATGAAAATCTCAATCAGGATACTCTAACCCGGGACATTTGAATATAAAGCAGAAGAGCTTACCAGCGTACTCGGAAGTCTGTTTGCCAGCCATTTCACTATCTTCACTGGAAGCCAATAACATCCTATGAAAAGGTATTTGTGAATCGTCAAGTTTTATAGACAGTCATCATGAGATGGTCCTATTTTGCTGAAAAATGATGTTGCTGAAAGTACAATATTGTGTATTTTCGGGAGGTACACATCCGAATTGTGCAATCGAACGCTGATACGTTCTTCAGCCAAGTACGCAACTGATCGACACTCTTCACAAGCAAGCAGTGTGAAAGTGGTCTCATAACACGAGCAGCATACATGATGCGTCGTTTCTCCGTGTCGATATTCCAATGAAAACTGTAGATGCAGCATTTCTCCCATCTGGATAGTCCAGTTCTATCGAAAGTTGTTAAACTGCTACTTCGTTTCCCTGAAACCAGCGCCTGCCACAACCGCCCCTGACGCACTTTTTATTTTAAAGTGTTTTCTCCTCAATACCTTGGCCTTGCTAGAGAAGACCTTGTTCTCTGTGAGGGGGTGGGTGGACGACTGACAAACCGGAGAAAGTGAAACCCACGGACGTGACGGCGGTCCTCTCCTTCCGACCATCCGTCCCACCGTTCCTTTTCCTCTAATTCTACTTCCTCCATCTCTTCTCTCTATCCCTTCCTGAACGAATTGTTTCCAGATCTGAAGTAACGAGTAGGGGCTGACTATATAACCCGGGAGCCTGTGCCCAATGACACGGATGTAATTGTTGCTGCAGAGGAGAACGCCCGACTTCGCCTGTGCACTGGAGAAGACGGAGGAACCATGAGGAGCTACAAGAGCCTTGTGGTCAGTGAAGTGTTTTTAGCCTATACTTGTGTGGGTCAATGAAAACGTGGTGATGCACATAGAAACCAGAACAATTTGTAGCCGAGTAGGGAATCGAAATCACATACTATCGACGATTTGTGTGGATTAGTACTAGTCTGGTAGTGAATCTCGAGCGATCCACACAGCTTTTGTCACCCCCCTTTTCACTAAATCTGTTTGTAAAATTAAGTCTCGGATATTATGTTCAGTTCGTTATGCGAAAAGAGACCTGCTGATTGTGAACATCGACATACCAAAGAGAACTTCGTGTCTATTAGAAATTTAATTTGTTCCATGTTTTGTTTCTCGTGCGTAGTTTATAATAATCTTGTAGTATATGAAATCATTTCGCACGGTGTTATCTGCTGTTCTCTCAGTTCTTTTCCGTCCCTACTCGTTGCAAGGCGATCATAACTGGTTTTGTAATATAAATATTATCTAAGTCCACAACTTTCTCGTGATTTGGCAAATATTTAATTAATAAAACCAATCCTATGAACCACAATAGTGTTAAATAATTAAGTATTGTCTATTAGTATCTATGGGCTTGCTAGTAATTACACCGTAATAAATAAGCAAATTTGGTGTTTGGGTACTTTTAATTTTAAGAAGCATTGAAATAAACAACGAGCACTGCAGTTGGCAGTATTTTAAGGCTGTGTTATAAGTATAATTTTTTTATTTTATAAACTATAAATTATACAACGAATATAAAATTACTGAGAATTGTACACGCCAGCTATAAAGTAAAAAGTGCGTTTCACAACTTCTAAAAATAAATCATAATTGTTTCTTGCTTTGTGTTAAATAAAATTACTTTCAGAATCAAACAATCACTTCGAAGTTCTTTCTTGCGAAGCTGACGGTTGTCCAACTTGTCAAAAAATCCGACTTTTATGGAGTTCAAAGAGTCGTTAACCTGTTTACAAGAGCAGGACATTAGATCCTGTCCTGAACAATTTGAATCCATTCGAAACCCCAACACAGTATTTCTTTATTATCTAATTTATTATTATTATTATACCATCTCCCAAGTGGTATATTCCATTTTTATTATCCGATTATAACTATGAACTCATTTTACCATCCGTGCTATATGCCAACACAGTATTTCTTTATTATCTAATTTATTATTATTATTATACCATCTCCCAAGTGGTATATTCCATTTTTATTATCCGATTATAACTATGAACTCATTTTACCATCCGTGCTATATGTCTAGTTCATCACATTATCGGTTTCATCACCTTGCTGCTAAAGAGTGAAAAATATGGAGCTCTTCGTTTTACAACTTTTCCCATATTTCTAACAACTCCTGAGGTACTGACATGAAGTTAACTGATACTGGAAGTGAGAAATTTGTTTATCATCTCGGTTAAGAAATCAAGCCGAGTGTTCCAACACAATCCTGCTTTCTAGAGCGTGTACATTACAGGTACTGAATATGTAATTAAAATGACGTGAGCTTTCTTTTGTGTGTTGAGTCAGAATGACTAAGATTGATCTGGTGTGTCGTCATGTAGAAGGCTTTGTAGTACTACTGTAACGTGTCTTAATTTTTAAACCCTTTGAATAAAGATGTCACTTTCATGTTGCGGATTCTGTAATTTATTTGTCTCAAGCAAGTTACTCGACATTTGTCAACTGTCTAGGTAACTTTGTTTTCCATGCCACTGAAGTAACGTACAACTAAATATTACTTAGCCTAATTTCGTGACATGTCCTGTCCTTCGATTATATTTTTTCTGTCAGAACAAATTTATGCGTCTAGTTATCATTACAAGCAATATGTTATGCATTCTTTACGCAATTAGAAATAAAAAGGTGTAAGGACTGGGAAGAAGACTGATACAGCTAACCGACGATCTTAAACAAGGAAAGAAGATGAAGTTTCAGGAGTTAAAACGAGAAGCTGAGAATAGGGAAAACTGGAGAGCTCTTTTTGGGCAGAGCAATGGACCTGTCGTAAGACAGAACACTGAATAATAATAATAATAATTTATCTCAGAGAAAAGTTTCATTGTGAAATGTCTGATTTACTGTCTGAGGGTCGCTGGATCGACTCTTAGCTCCGTCTAACTGATTTGTAATTTCACTCACAATTACGCTAGACCTCAGTCAACTTCCTTCGCAATTTCTCTCATATCCAACATAATTAAACAACTTGGGGCAAAATTATGCATCATAAATAATAAATTATGTACAAATGAGAGGAAATTCTTTCAATAAATAAGTTATGTTAGGTTTTGAATTTACCACATCGAGAATTATCGAAACTGATTACATAGTTTGGCTGCCGTTGCTTGAGGCTGGACGGACAGACATTCCGAAACTGTACTTACTTGTAGATTTGTTTCTAAACTCAGCCATGATCGTTAAATGAGCAGTACATACACAACTATAAAAAATACGGAATATGAAACGCTGCTGTTTTCATGCCTGTACACAAGTTTCTATGTGGGCAGGCTCTTTTAACACACCGGGGCGAGAGGTTAAGTGGTTTGTTTTCACATGCTGTAGAAGAGTTTAGGAGCTGTTCTGGAAGTAAATCGCCCAATGGCATTCTGCCGTAATGGCCTCCACTCTGAGTACAAACATCTTGCGCTGGCCGTAATGTCTGTTCCTCATTCCACTCGATCGTAACACTGTTATAGCTCGAAACATGAACGCATCATGAGGGCTCCGCTATAATTACCAAATGTTATTGTCGACCGAAACATTACATCCCTCAGACTACAATGCGGATTCTGTTGCTTTTCCTTTGTATACGTACTTCACGAAAATTGCATAAATGCAAAGCGTTTCATATCAGGAATACTTGAATTTGGTTTTTTAGTCTACATAAATTTTGCTAGTGAATTGAATGTGGAGGAAACTGGATAACATGTAAACCAAATGTTAAAACCTCAATCACAGAATCCACCTGTAATTACTTCTTTGACTGTGGTCCTTCCACTGCCATTGGCTCCCTTGCACTGATTGTCCTCCAATTCTGCCCCCACCCTGTTCATTGGTCCAGCCAAACTTCTGCCTTGTCCGGCCTCCTCCTACATCTCTACGCCCGCGTCTTATTCATCTCAATAATAATGGAGAGAGTAAGCACCTCTGAAACGTCGGTATGTTTCTATAAACCCACAGGTCCAACGTCCCAGGAGAGAGTTATCTTCGAACTAGCCGACGTGATTACCCCAAAGCCACTTACTATTACGCGGTTCACGCAGCCAATTTAAATTCCCGGTTTGGTGGTCCAGATACAGGACAAAGCGTTTACAAATTCTGAGTGCGTCTGTTCACTCTTATGAGATCTGAGATTCCCGCGACGGAGAACACGGGTTGTGACGCCGTGTGGAATTGTGGGTATATATCGACAGCGACATTATTCACTCTTGTTCTTTCTGTAAAATGGTGAAATGCTGTCTTAAAATAGGCCGTAATCGTAAATTATTCTGAACGTGTTAATGTTTCGAAGACAATATTTTGTAATATGCAATTCATTCCCAAGAAAAGTAAGAACAATGTTATATATTGCGTTTCATTTCCCACGAACTGGTGTTTAAGCATCCAAAATTGCATACTTTCATTGTTGTAAGATTAGCAAGCCTGAGTAGCATCTTTAATTACTGCGGGTAACAACACAACCCACAATTTTACAGGACACAACGCGTTCCATTCTCCACGAATGGACTTGTCCCCGTTTACTGGTCTTGAGTTCAAATCGTGTTACTGTCAGAAGCTTGGAGAAAGTTCACCTATCATGCTAATGAAGCGTGGAAAAAACAGTTCTTCTTTCTTCGCACGTGCTCTAAACCCAGTTAGGACAGAGTAAATAAACACAAACACACACACATATTAAAATGTAGTGGCAGTTGAACATTGGGATATATACACATACATACAAACGCACTGGAAGTTCAACAGATGGAGTCTACTTTCTTCATAACCACAACATGCTTTCCAGCTTATAGCTGCACAACGCCCAATAGCCTTATGAAAACTCGTAAGCCTCGACTCTTCTGAAATTCAGCCCCATTTAAGAAATTCCTAGCGAAATGCGTGCTCAGTGGCGGCCGCCATTCATGATTTTATTAAATGATACGAATAAACAGAAATTTATCAGACTTCTTCATGGAACACAATCTTAGCTCGCGGTTTGTTTGATAAGAAGTCACCTTACAAGCAGATTTTGAAATTGGCATATACCATATTCACACATACGCCTGAGATGCTGCAGCGATTTTGATCTGTTTTTGCATAGACTTGTAATGGTCTTCAGCTTAGAAAACTGTTCTTCACAATATGAACTTCGGCTCTTAAGTGATTCGTACAAGTAGGAAGCATTTCGTCAGACTCTACAGTATTTTGTGATTATTACAATTCATTTTGCTCTTCATGAAATGGTTTATTCCGCGAACACCCTCCTTGCTCAAAAGAATAAGTTTCACATCGCCCAGTATAAGTAAGAAGGATGCGTTGAGTCACATTCATACACCCCGTTGCTTCGAGATAAATTAAAATATTAACCTCCTTTCTGCGCCTAAGATCTCAAGTTTCAACAGGTTCCGTTCAAAATTATCTACGCATTTATGGTTTCTCGCGTATGCGCTAAACGTTAGTACTGCTAATCTCATCCTCCTTTATTTTGTCACGGCTTAAATATTATTACATACTGCAGTTGAGTTCCAGGTCCTCTACACTGTTATCAGAGCGTCCAGTCATACAGATTACATGCAAATTTCACTTGTTAAATTTCCTTAGTTTCTTTCTCAGTTCACCAAAATCACTTCTTTTATAGTAACTTTAAGACTTGACACGATCTCTTCCTTCCCGATCCTCCTCAATCGTTAAATGTCTTACGAACAAGCCTATCGTACGTAATACGATATCGTATCGCGCGGTTACCTCTGTCACCTTCGTGTGCTCACAGCGAACATAACCTCATTCCAGCGGAAGGTACAGAACACTTTCAGTTTCCTCCTTGGGAAGGTTAAGGTTTTCGTTTCTGTTTTTTTAAACGCTGAAGCGAGACGCTGAAACGCGGGCTGAGTCACGCGGGACGTGAACAATATTAAAGCAAGCCATTCAGGTCACTTTCTCACAGCACACTAATATTGCACGAACTCCCACTGCACTTTGCCCTCGATTCTCAGCCTGGGGTCAGCTTTCCATAGTACTGGGTTAGGATGACGGTTTGTAAAGTACAGGGCAGGGCAGGGCAGGGAATCTGAAAGTTGACGCGTCCAGAAACAATCTCTCTGGACCTTTACCTGGATTCCTTTTTAGATAATGCTGGGATCATGGTGAAAAGTGATGGAATGTTAGTGTACGTAGTTAATTCCTAGTTTGACTGCAAGAACTGTCTTTGTTGTTTCTACTAGGCGGAGATAATTATCTGTAGTGTGAATTAACAATAATTTTCTTATAGAACTTCTCGTTTTCGAAATTTGTACTCTTCAACAACACTGTGATAAAATTAGGTCAAAAACACTGTCGGGTATGTATCACTAATGCGGGTGATGCTTACAAAAGTTAGGTCTTAAACTCCAACTGGAAGTAACTTCTTATATCTGACCAGATAACAGAACAGCGTTTAGATTAATCATACATAAATATGGTGTGAAGCCGTAGACTAGACTGAAGGTTCAGTGTGATTTACAGTGACGGTCTTTTGTAAACACGGTAATAGACCTTCATACTCCATAAAATAAGAGGAATTTCTTGACCAGTTTCTCAACGATGACTCCGCTGTACTGCTAATCAGTTCATTGGTTAGGTCCTTGTCTATCACGCCTCTCTTGTGCTATTTATGCCAATTCATGTCTAATGTTGCGTCGTAAATGATAATGTCTGTTAATGTTACGAGTACAATTTGTTTCACAGGTTACCCTTTGCGTATTACTGCAAGTTGCCCTGGTAGTCGGCAAAGCAATTGGAAGCCAACAACCGCAGCCACAGTAAGTAGCTCTTCACTCTCGTTGGAACGTGGGGGTGAGTCCGTAGACAGAGAAAACCCTTTGCACGAAATTGGGTTCATACAAACAGTGTTTTACCCATACAAACAGAGAATAAACTGACCTTCGTTTCTGTGCATTTCTCATACATCCAATGAATTTATAAACATAGTCTCCATTTAAAATCTCCTTGATTTGGTCACCATAATAGAGCATGGTAAAGAGTAGGCTACATACTACTCCTGGTATAATTTTTTCCGTCCTTCTGTTATTTCCTCTCTCTTAGACAAAACTTTTGTCGTCACTTTTTTCTTAAACACCTTGATCTTGTCCGCTTATAGGATTGCACAGCCGCGAGTTGGAGGATGGGGGGATTACCACCACTCTGGAGAGGATTATCAAAACTCCGGCGAAGAGCACCACCACTCCGGCGAAGAGCACCACCACTCCGGCGAAGAGCACCACCACTCAGGGGAAGAGCATCATCATTCCGGAGAGAAGCACTCCTTTGAGGATCATCACCACTCCGGCGAGTTGCTCCATCACTCCGGAGAAGAGCACCATTACCATCAAGTAGATGAGCACCACCACCCAGAGGAGGAGCACCACCACCACCACGAACCTAAGGGATACTGGAAGAAGAAACTTATCTGGAAACCTGACTGGAAGAAAATATGGAAACCTGCATCAAAACAGATATGGAAACCCGCATGGAAAAAGATATACAAACCAGAATGGCACCCCATTCAAGTACCTGCGTGGAAAGAAATAAAAGTTCCTGACTGGAAGAAAATTTGGAAACCTGAATGGAAACCGATCCAGATTCCTGCTTGGAAAGAAATTCAAGTTCCTGACTGGAAAAAAATTTGGAAGCCGGTGTGGGTCCCTATCAAAATCCCTGCATGGAAAGAAATTAAAGTGCCAGACTGGAAGAAAGTGTGGAAACCCGTGTGGAAACCGATACAAATCCCTGCTTGGAAGGATATTAAAGTTCCTGCATGGAAGAAAATTTGGGTGCCTGAGTTAGTCAAACAATGGGTACCTGGCGAGAAACACCATGGCAAAGATCATGACGGTTGGGAATATACGTCTCATGGGCTCTGGAGGAAAAAAGTAGTATGGAAACCAGTTTGGAAGAAGATTTGGAAAAATGCCAAGAAGAAAATATGGATTCCAGACAAGAAACTGGTCTGGAAGGAAGAATGGAAACAGATCTGGAGAACTGAGAAAAAGCAAATTTGGATTCCGGACAAGAAGCTAATTTGGAAAGAAGCATGGAAACAGATCTGGAGAACCGAAAAGAAGCAAATCTGGATACCAGATAAAAAACTAGTCTGGAAAGAGGCTTGGAAACAAATTTGGAGAACCGAGAAAAAGCAAATCTGGGTTCCTGACAAGAAACTGGTATGGAAAGAAGCTTGGAAGAAAATCTGGGTGCCAGCATGGAAGAAAATTTGGGTTCCTGCCTGGAAGAAGATCTGGAAACCAGTATGGATCCACGAGTGGGTTCTGATTCAAGAGCACCATCATCCTCCAGAGCATCACGGCTGGGATCGCAAGGATTTGCAGGTTCCTCAGGTACCATCACCCCAGCAGCAGCAGCAGCAGCAGCTGCAAGTGGGTGCGGTAGTGAACCAACAGGAGCCCAACTGGGGTCGCAGAATGGACACTGTAAGGCAGCGACAAGCCTGGCAGTTTCCTGCACAGTGACGTGCTCTCGGTTTGACTGTCATTAGCTCACATCTGCCAGAAGTCGATGGGATCGGCTTCCACAAATCACTGGAACTGTGAGTTGGCAATGCATTGAATAATGAGAGTTATTCAGTTTTTGCTAAGATTACTTACAAGCTACAGGTTCGACCAGCTTTGTTGGAAATCACACTGACTGACTGAAGTTTTAGTACAATATTGTTGTGAAAACGAGTTGTGTATGTCGTACAGCAGTCATCCAAGTCGGATAGTACAAGAAGTACCTGGTATGCGAGATGTTCAGGATCTTCATCAGCACCTGCTAAACTTTCGACGTGATACTTTTTCTTTACTTTTCCTGGAAATATTATTTTGCGGAAAATATTTTGCTGTCTTTCTCCTGCATTACCTGTGGAGATTGATCCTGTTGTTTAAGGTTCAACTTAACAACAGCCACTTCTCTTGCGTCGAGTACGCAAGACGTCTCTATCTTAAATTACCATTTCCTTACACTTGACGACTGTAACAGGTAAATGAGGTGGTAGGATGCAGCAATAGTGCCAACTGCCGGAGACGTTACGCAAAATATTTCTGAATAGCTGATTTTACTGCTAGTTGAGCCAATTTAAAATGCAGATGCATGTTATTTATACCAGTATACATTCCAGAACATGTGGGCTGGTTGTATTGTGCCGCTGTACCTCGGTGAGTGAATGTGTTTGTTACATTTTTGTTTATCGTTGTTGAGTTTGAAACGTTAATAACATATATTATATTTAATAGTTTTGTTTTTTATTTTTGTAGCAGTGTACTGGTGTCGTGTATCGACACGTTTTAATCTGTTACAGACTTCTTCATTAAATAAACCATATATAAGGTCATAAATAAATTCATAAATATTGTACGGCTTTTTTTAAACCGACGTTTCAAGATGACAAAAAGGGGTCTATATAAATATTGAAATGTTGCTAAATCTTATAGAGATTGGTGTCTATTCCGTGTTATTCAAATTCTAGATTCAATGGGAGTGTGATCAGAACACAACTTTGTAAGCTACCCTAACGATTAAATTAAAGGGAAAAGCAACACTAAATTTAAACAAGATGAGATAATCCAGAGAAAGACTATGAGGAACTTCGATATGTTGCATGACCGTGGTGTACGTTTCAATGAGACGTTCACACAAATGAACACGAAGTTATGTATAGTACAAACGTAGTCGTCCCATAATGATGAATACAACTTAAACACGAGCTTTCAGACACAGCTCGATCTCCGATAAGTCTATGGACGTCAGTCAGCCAATTTCTGTCTTGATTTTTTAAAAACGCAGTGTTAACCACGACTGTTAATTGGCGACCAATATTACGAGATAATAAAAGCGTCTGTTGAACTTTACAGGCATATGTGCTCTATAGATTTCGGGAATTTTCCTGGATGGACTCAAAAACATAAAATCAGAATTCGATGCCCTGGTTGAGGTTCGAACTTTGCTCAGGTTGAACTGACTTTCTCGTTCCACGTTATGTGTTTCACAATGGTGGTATAAGGCTTGTACTGTGACATGAATGTCGAATTAATGAGGCTGTAGCCCTGAAGAAAAACTGTGGTAGTATCAATGAAGTTCGTGCCGATGATGGTAGAAATCGTCGTAGAAACTGAATGACTTCCATATTTTGATGACAAATTTTATTCTTGGAGAAGAAGCCTTCTTGAGAAGCTAATGGGCGCTAAGCTAGCCAACAAATTACGGAATCCGAAGGTTTATTGCCATGTTTAAAGAGTCACTGAACCCTGAATCAAGTCACAAGAATCCATTCCACATCCCCAGTACCTATTTGTTGATAAACTATTTTAATATTATGGCAAAGCACGCTTCTCTTAAGATTTCCGACATTGCGAAGCTCCTCAGCATTTTTAAAGTATCACATTTTATAAGTTTCAGTTCCCGTATAATGCCTTTGAAAATAAGAACGTACATAGAAAAGCAGACCTATCTAAAACGCACTAATTTGATTCTAAAGAACCCAATACCACCGAGACGTAAATCCACAGCTGTGTGGATCAACCTTGACCCTCGCAGTTACACATGGATGAAAGAACAAGGAACTCGTAAACAATTTCAATTTCAGAATGAAAGTCAAGAAACAAGAGAAAGCAGCTCTTCTGTCAAAACTCATGTGAGAGAAGCTGTTGGTGCCACCTGTCTACAGAGGATATAACTAAAAGCAAGTGTCCATCTTCTGACGTCAGTGTACACAGCGTTCACCACAGGCCCACAACAAGCAGAACTGAACTCTCCACAACAACTTTTCTATCAATTTTGTCTTTTCGCTCCTTTCCATATCCTTTCTGATTCATTAATCATCCCACCATGTGACGCTATATCGTCTGAGCTACTGACAGCACCCTGAATTAAAACACAGAAAAAACAAATACCATCATGGTATAATTATTATTATTATACTCAACATGTTTTGAGCCTGATTGGCTACGATTGGTCACGAGAACGTACGCATAGAATGAGCCACAATTCTATTGTGCTTTAATTTCAAGGCTCTCATTTTAATATTTGCAAAGCACCGAACAACTTGACCGGGATTCCTCATGTTTTTTCATACAAATGTCTTCTGTTTTCTCCCCCCTTCATTTCTATTTTAAAGAAAATTTGTATGATAATCCCATCCTCTCATTACACCTACGAGGTGCGATCGGAAAGTTTTCAGACTGCGCGTATAAAAACCCGTACACTTATCTCAGGTATTAAATTCATCCATCACCCTCGAAGTAGTTCCCCTGGGAGTGAACACAACGATCCCAGCGCCGCTGCCAAGCCTGGAAGCATCCCTGGAAATCTTTCTTTGTCAGCCTGTCAAGCACCATCTGCGATTCTGCCTGAAGCTCTTCTATCGTCTCAAATCTCCTTCCCTTTAGCTGAATTTTCAACTTTGGGAAGAGGAAGAAGTCACACAGAGCTTAGAAAGGAAGTTGGGGTCGGTTCTTGCAAGATCTTTAAACTCCTGACAAACGAGAAGTCGATTCTGCTTCTAGTCCTCTGACAGGATGCGTCGCATGTGGAGTTCATCCTTTAGAATCAGCTGACAGGTCCCATAGCCTATCCCAACAATGTCGCACAAATCGTTGATGGTACGACGTCGATCTTCGTAACATTTTCGGGCGTTGTGCTCGAAGATGGTCGTCCAGAACGCTCGTCATCATCGACAGAGGTTCGGCCATTTTTAAAACGTGAATGCCACACAAAAGTTTGCGGACTCCCCAAATGCTTGCTTTAGCATTTCATAGGTTTCCGTAGCCGTTTTGGCGAGTCTTTGGCAAAATTTGATGCACACGCCATTCCGAAATCGCAGGAGGGTCGGTGTAATGCACTACCAAAACGCCCGTAACAAAGAAACAAATGCTAATTCGATGATGCCGGCTGGCACACTGATTCACTATGAATGTAGGCCGCACCCCCTAGCAGCAGAAGCTCGTACTACATCCTGTTCTCCCTCAAACATGTACCTCCACCACAATGAGAGAACAGGGTAAAAAAAGACGAAAGAAAACGAAGGATTGGAAAACAATACAATGGGGAGCTTCGTAACGTACGTGTGTGTGCGTGCGTGCGTATATAATCTATAATTTGCATTTTCTTGTTCGGATAAGTAAACGCAGGAAAAAAAATAACGTTTTCAGATGTAGATCTAGTTTCTCCTACATATTTTACAAGAGCATATTCGTTATTCAGAATTCCTAAATATGAGCAGGTATAAAGAATGATGTTCCCGAGCAACACATGTAAAAGTGAAGAAATCAGAGCATTATTTTTTATATATCCATGTATCGTGTCTGAGTTCCTTCAAGCAGACTACGGTCGCTTCCTTGTACTCATAATTTATAGTAGTATATTTCGTTTCCATTCCACATCGTCATATAGGTCTAAACTTTGTACAAGAAGCAATGACTCACGCCCAAGTGGCAATCAGTTCAAACAAATTCAGGTCCGCGTAATATACCAACGAGCTAATCCTACTCAGTACGTAAAAGCTTTAACAACACCTGTACCCAGATGCCATGGGCATGAAATACATTACTAAAGAATTGTATCAGTGACAAACTGTAAGAGGTAAACAGTGTTCTAACAGTTCAAAGGGTCAAATTGGGAACTCAGTTATTTACCGTAAAATGCATATCCTGAGTGGACGTAAGCTCAGACAATTATTTTTTTCCCTCTTGTGACACGTACGAGCTTTTCATGAATTCAAACTACCCTATTTATTTGTTAAATAATTAACCAATTATCCATCTGAAAAGATTGTATTTATTACAACATATCTAAATATTATAATATTAATATTATGTTGTGAAAAATTTCAAAACTGAAATCAAGTCATAACATTTCTAGTTAGATCCATTGCCGAATTTCACGATTAAAAATTAATGCAGGGAAGCAATATATACAAATATTTTTAAAATATGATACTGAAAATGTATAAAACAATATGATATCAAGTGACTATGTTACTTTTCATCAATCAAAAGTGGCGAAAGTAGTCCTGCAAAAACGTAAAAGAAGTTGTTACCGAAATCTTACTTTCTAATTTGAAGGTTACCTGACAAATATGGGTATGCAATAACATTGTCCATTTAACAAGTCAAGCTTATTTTGTCAATAGATTTTATATTGGATTAATAAGAAAATATAAGAGTGGTAATGAATTAGAGGTGAGTCATTGGTCAGGGATTAAAAGACGCCCTGTCATTGTGTGAATACTCGTAAATGAAGACAGTACGTTTCTCCGAATCGTTTGCGTTACAACTCAGAAGACCAACATCTACATATTTTGAGTAGTATATTTATACTTACCAAATGCTGCTCCAACTTTGATAACTGACGAAATGCCTGCTCCGATCTGCCTATATCTTGTATGTGTGTATCACTTTTCACTCACAGAACTACATGAAACTTTGAAAACAACATGCCCGGCTTTCGTTTAATTCCGTTGCACACAGTACACGCGACGTCTCAAGAACAGATGCGAGCTCAAATAAACCTAGTCACAGAAACTAACAGCAGATGTCAGGTATATTGATACTATGACCGAGACTGAAAGGAGACCGCGATTAAGTATTAGTGTCCAAGTTCTGTTCACAAGATTATCTACTGTCATACACTGCACGTCAAATCCTTACATTACTTAAAAAATTGTTAAAACAACATTTCACAAAGTAAGTCACATTTATGCTGCCAGTACAGGCAACTGTTGCACCATTTTCAGTTCATCTTCGAACAAATTAAACGGGCCGGATGTAGACAGTATTTTGTCTCGAGTGCTTTCAGAATGCACAGGAAGAAAAGACGAGAGCAAAACGGAGACTGAGACAAGACTGGGTGCTTTCAGTTAGTTCCTTTGTATTTTAAAACGTATAAATTTTTCAATATATTGCGTACAACATGAGGATAAAACAAATTCCAAAGCTTCGGCATAACATTCTGCCGTTTGAAGCGACTGGGACCGGACGCAGCGATCGAACGTTCAGCCACTCCTGTCGTGCACTTGTTAGGTCCCGGGTTCGAATATCGGCCCAGAAACCAGCTATCATGGCCAAGATTTTCATGGTTTTCGTCTGTCTCTCAGGAAAAGTGCTAGAATAAATCTTCAATACAGTTCCTGTAAATTTCTGTGTCATTTGTTGCCGCAATATACTGGACTCGTTACGTTGAACTTTCCCATTGTCTGGGATATGTTGATATGCATGATGTACGCCCGATAAAAATATGTATATTATGCAGTGGACAATGCCGAACATAATATTACCAAAGTTGACAAATGCACTAGGTATTTAATCATTAGATACTCGGTGTAGACGATTAAAATTGTGAAAATGAATACAACACAAATACACATTTATTGAAGTAATGTCACGTGATACATATCAAATAATATAATGTCATTTAACACAACTTAATACTAAACCAAACGCACGAGGCTGACTTAGAGTGTAATTTGAACACATCCATCAATTTTTATAGGGCTATTCGGGGAAAACATGGCGTTTTTAATTCATTCTTTCCTTAGAAATAAATAATTTAAAACTGGCGAATTCAAGTATTTTTCATTATTCCATGATAAGAATTCATTAGGAAACTAGCAGCACAATTATATTACAGACTAGTAAACCTACACTTGAACAAATATACGCCTTTAGTAACATATTCCCAAGATTGTACCGATGACAGTAGACGAAGTGAGAGATGGACAAGGAAAATTCAGTCCTGCTTTTATTGTTAACAGGGTCATCTATCATTTATTTTCTTTCACACAGAACAAATTTAAAAAGGTACCAAATAAATTGTAGCATCCAAAATCCTCGTAGATACTATTTTACTTTGCTATGTGTAATAAAGTCGACAGATTTCCACTCCAGATTCAGTCTAATGCATTTTTTACAATTTGAAAAACCAGTCACATTTTAAGTTACTATGTTGACCATAAATAATTACTAATAATGTTATTTTTGTCACGTTATCAAATAACTGTGAAGACTAATGAAACGTGTGGGACAAGCTAAGAGACGCACAGACTAACAGTAACGTAATACTAATTCCTCACTGGACTTACTAATATTGTATTCTTTTTATACCACCGCATAAAACGACGCGGTTGGGTGACTCAGTCCTGCTTCTTATTCGAGATTTTCTGACTTCTGGCTGTTAGTGATTTTAACCCTCCAAGCAAATCAAGGTATAACATAGGCCAAGACTGCTTCCTTTCAAACCTTCCGGAATATATCATTCATAATTATTCCTAAATAAAATATGAAGGACTGCACCATGGGCTTCCAGCATTCATACGACTGGAGTTCATTGGTGTAAGAGTTCTAAAACTTGAGAGCAACAGTGGGCTAACCCACACAGTCGTAAAATTTTCATTGAAAACAAAATGTAATCACACTACAGACCCATGATTTAATATAGAGCATATATATTTTAATTTATATTCGTCTCTCTTAGTTATAATAAAGAGCCGGTTAGCCTACTGTTGCTCCCAGGTCTTATCTAATTTATTGACAATTTTATGGTTTCGAAGGAAAAAATTGATTTCGTCGATAGCACGGGGAGGGGAATGTGCAAATCTACACGTCATGTGCCTCTTCCTTCTAATTCGACTACACACACAAATATAGGCTAAGGTAGACAAGTAATGTTGTTGTTCCTGACACCAAGTCACTTGCAGGTTTGACTACTGAACTGGATGCAGGGGAATGATCTGCAACTGTGATGGCTCAGTCGGCAAAGCAAGCGTCTTTCTTATGCAATGAATACCAATGTCTCATTTCCCAGAGGCACAGCTACCGGAGCGTGAAGCTGACATATTATCTCAATTCATCATAGATTTAAGATTATCGCGGTGATAAAGATTTGATTAAGGTCTTTTGGGTTGTCCTTAAAATTATTCATTATCAGGACTTTTCCCAACGTCTATTCTTTAAAACCACGACGTTTCGGAGTCTGATTCTTTCTCCGTCTTCAGGTGAGAGGTACCTGGACAATTCAGTGACAGAGACTAGCTCTATCTAAGGGACCCAACAGAGTAGGTACCTCTCACCTGAAGACGGAGACAGAACCAGCCTCCGAAACGTCGTGGTTTTAAAAAACAGACGATGGAAAAAGTCCGGACAATGAATAATTTTAAGTGTAAACTACCGTCGTCAAAACCCTTTAGAACTGAATTCTTTTGGGTTGTAATGCCATGTATTCTTATAGGTGGTTACCAACCTTGAAGATGGATGTGTTCCTCCTAAATGTTGGTAACCATCTACACCATTACAACTAAGACGACCCTAACTACCAGCTCAATTTAGTACAAAGAGCTAGAACGCTTCGATGTTTTTCTCTGTCCCTCCTATTCGCCTTCACGGTGTTATGTTAGGAACTCCTGTTGTAAAACGCGTCTTAAAAACACTGAATTCTTAGACAAGATGACAAGTGAGAGAATATTAAATATATGTTCTTCAAATGAGGCGTCACTGCTGATTCGCTGCGTCAACATGAGCATGAATACTAACAGTTGTTAACATTTCGTGTTTTATTTACGACAAATCACTCATGTTTTGACTCCCATCCAGGGGGAGGTTTCGGAATTGGAACCCACTCTTGTATTTCCACTGGTCCCCACACTTTCTTCCACAATGGCTTCCATACTTTCTCCTGCCTCCATTCCTTGATCCATCTTGCTTTCCACACAACTTGTTTTCTCCATACTCCGTGCGGCGCGTGTGGATCGCCAACAGGAATATTGATCACGCTGAAATCAATTAAATTAATGATTTATCACTGAATAACCATGTATATAATAAGCACAGTCCCTCGAACTCATGTTTTGCACGCGAGTTATCTATTTGCATGGCAGATAAGTCGTCTATTTTGATCATTTTAAGTTCAGAGTACTTAGTGTACTACAATTACAGGGCTAATATAGATTAATATTTACTGGGGATATTGGGATACTGGGAACGACCCGTTATTCAAGTGCTTGAGCACTGTGGGTCTCAACTTTTCTTTGGCTCGATCTATAGACATTCGGTAGGACTTCTTGGA